TATGGCCTATTATACGGTATGTATGTGTTATATACAAAGTATTAATATATTTGTGATATATTTTTGGAGAATTAATTTTATAGGCCAAAATAACAAAATTTATTATGTACAAAAATGTGTACAAAAAGGCTTATTTATTAAGTAATTGAAGTTTACATTAGATGAAGAAGAATAAAAATAGAGTGACATTATATTGTCTTGTTATATTATATTCTGCGCCCGAATATAATTTAATAAAGAAGCCTCTAACATTTTTGTATATCAATTTTTATATATTTATAATATTTATTTTTATATTTAGAATCGACTCGAAAAATGTCTCACGAATATTTTAACATTCTGTATATATATATAAATATTTACAAATAAGTCTTTATATTAAATTTTATATATTAAATTTCTTTTTATTTTTTTTTTTTATAGAATCCCTCCTCAATCTTTATCGACTAAAATATTGAAATTTACAATTAAAGCTTCCTTATTAGGAGCTACAATTTATATGGGATATAAAGTTATACCATTACCTTCTACTAATGTATTACAATCAATTAAATCATCGATTGAAGGATTATTAAAGGGCAGTGCAAAATAATAGAATAGTTGGATCTTTATATTTAGAAATTCTTTACTGATATATAACTCATATTTTCTATTAAGAAAAAAGAAACGAAAACAAAACAATTGTTTGCTTTATTTTAAGCTGCCTATTTTTAAAAAATCTTATAGAAGTTTTTTTAGTTTTTTTGTTGATTACAATAATGGAGGCGATTGCATGTGCAGACGAATATGAACATACTATATCTGGTGTCATGTATGTAGAACATAATATACCAGGTCCTGGAATAAATCTGGAAGAATTCGAATTAGAATATTCACTAGGTTGTTCATGTACAATTCAGTGTTTCGATTGTTCATGTACACGTGGTTCTCCAAATTATATTAATGGTCGAATATTAGATGAAACACTATCAAGATTAATAATCGAATGTAATTCTCATTGTACTTGCAAAGAAAATTGTGATAATAGAGTGGTACAAAATGGTCCATTAGATAGTCTATTTGTATCAGAAATTGATGGAAAAGGACATGGTTTATTCACAACTAAATATATTAAGAAAGGTCAGTTTATTTGTGAATATGCTGGGGAAGTGGTAAGTATTGAAGAAGCAAGACGTAGAGTCGAGATGAATAAAAATAGTATGAATTATGTTCTTGTTGTTTCTGAGCATATTGGTGATCAAATAATAGTAACATGTATAGATCCTAAATATTTTGGCAATATTGGACGATATTCTAATCACAGTTGCGAACCAAATACGAATCTTGTACCTATTAGAGTTGAAGGACCTATACCTCGATTGTGTTTGTTCGCATCCAGAGATATAGAAGTTGATGAAGAGATAACTTTCAATTATGCTGGAGGAATTACTAATTCTGTTCATAATTTCAGTCATACAATCTGTCTTTGTGGCTCTAATAATTGTCAAGGCTATTTGCCTCATAATCCTATTTAAAATTATGATGTTTTTTTAATAAATTGATCGAAAAGCAAATTTATACACTTGAAAATAAATATCCTAAATAGAGTTTTGTAAATATATTGAGTAGATTTTTAATAATTTCACATTTATTCATTGCTTTCATTATTTATTTTCAAGCAAAAATTAAATTATTTTAGAGCAAGTTTATATTATTATTTATAAGTTTATAAAATAATATATATTTTCTATTAAAAAAAGAGAATAAATAATTAATTATTAATATTAGTTTAATATAAACTGTAAAAAGTTAGTGTACCAATTGTACAGAAAAATTATATCTTTTTTTATACATATAAAATCAAAGATATAGATAAAATGAATATTATTTTGATCATTGCAACCTTTTTTTACAATTTTCTAATGTGTTCATTAATAATATGTTTCTAATATGTAATTCTAATGTATTTATCAATATAAATTGATATCAAGAAAAATAATAGACATTTTTATGAATGCAATTGTTATTAAATTTAATTATAAATTCAATAAAATATCACTGTAAAGAAAATTATTTTTTTTAATAGAGTTAAGAATATAATATAAATTATTATAAAGAAGTAATAATTTTTAATAGAGTTTTATTATAATACGAATTAATAATTAAAAAATAATTTATAAATAATTTATAAATCACATAATCATTTTATCGTAAAAAAAAATTAAAAAAGAAGTAGGAAAAAATTTTAATAAAAAATGGATAAAAAATTGAAAAAAAATGATTAAATATAATTAATATATTATTAATATATTTCGAATTTATATTATCATTATTATTCGAGCTTCCATTTTAATATTTTAATAATTATATATATGTATAAATATATATATATATTGTACATATATATAACATTTTTATAATAGTGATATATGTTAATGATTTATATATATATATATATATATATATATAAGTATAAAATATATTCATTATATTTCTGTATACATGTATAGTTAAATAGTTAAGTATTGTATGTATCAATTTTCTAATAAAATAAAATATTCACGTGTTTTAAATAACATATATTGTTAATAATATAATTTTATTTTATTAGCTCTTTAATTTTAATTTTATTATTGAGTATAAACAATATTAAATATTGTAATAAAATAATGTACGATATATAGAAAGACGAATATTAAAATATTATTAAAATATTTCTGATTTATGAAACATATATTTGCTACATAAAAAAATTTCGATTATTTTCGGAAATATACGATTTATTTTCTTTCTTTTATTTATTTTATTTTAATTATATAAATACTAAAAAGGTTAAAAAAAACATTTAATTTTTTTTTTAATTCCTTAAATGATTAATGAACTTCTTTGGTATCTTATATAATGTCATCTTATATTTTAAAAACTGTACATTGTGTGAATATAATATGTAATTCATAAAACGAGTGTAATGAACTAATATCATTAACAAACTAATATTTTTTCGATGTATTTATTTTTATTGCTGTTTTTCATTTTTTGCCATACATTCTGATTCTTTTGACTCGTTGCAATATTTCCAACGTAACCATGCTACTCTCATACGGTCCCAAATATTCTCTAATGAATCCATGGCTGGTCTAACATCCAGTAATGTAAATGTATATTTTTCATTTACTGCTCCACCATCATAATAATCTATAACATATCGTACATCTTTTCCACATCTATCTACAATCCAATCATGCCTATCAAACGGTAGTTCATATCTAGAAATAAATAATTTCATGTTTATTAACTTAATTTATTAAAAATAATTATAAATCATAATTACAACATACCCCATCCAATATCGAATACGAGCACGTGGAGAATATTGCTTAGCTTTGCCTCCAAAACTTCGTAATTTTGGAGTACCACACTCTTTTACATGAAGTGCCTCCCATTTAAGCACTTCCTGCCATGCCAGTTCATTATTTGCATTATGAATTTTTATTATGTCATCCATATCTTTTGGCGTAATATCATCATTTTTCCATCTCCAACCTTTTCTTAACATTGCATTCCAAAACATTTGTTGCGATGGATACACCCAAAATTCTTCTTCTCCAGTTGCTTTTGGTATAGATGAAACTTGTCTCTCTGTAGGCAGTGGAAAAGGTTGATCTGGTGCTGGTTGTTGATTAGCTGGTGGCATCTAAAATTTTATTTAAGTTTCATTCAGTAATAATTAACATGTAAGATATTTAGATATATTTAAATAATTTAATAACTAGATATTATAACCATGTTAAGGGGATTAATATCTTCTGAAGTCATATCATTAATTGGACATTCACTGGAAAGTATAGGTGATTCTTTTTCTGATGCAGATTTATGCATTGGACATTCTGGTGGAGGTTTTTCATTAGATTTATAAATTTCATGGTGTTGAGGCTTTGAAATTTGTTGCTGATGCATTGGCATAATTACATCAGCTGCCGAAACAGCAGAGGTCATTACATTACCCATTTTTCTTTACTCTAAGTTTCCTGTACATTAGAAAATCAAAAAATTTTTTATTCAAAAATATGAAAATTATGAATATTGATATTTATAAATATATTGTGCAATAACCTATATTTTATGTTGCTTCAATATTATTTTTAAATGTGCTAAAAATATACTTTCTCATGAAATATTATGCTGTAAAAACGAGAGTTGATAAAATACTTACATGTAGCTATAAACATAAAATTGTTGTTAAGATAAATTTATTCAACCATCTGTTTTTATCAACTTAGGAAAACGTTTCAATAAATTATAATGACCTTAAATATTAAATGAACTTTAGAAATTAAAGGTAATATCTTGTGAAGAATTGGAACATCTCGACCCCGAATTCTTCAGAGGACTTGGGATTAAGCATATAAGAATAATAAGTAATAATATATACTCTTATATTTCACTATCATTTCTAGTAATCTCCATTAAGATAACAAAAATTTTCCCCCAAACTAAAATATTTTTAAAAATTTATGATAAAAATTCATAAATAATTTAGGAAAAACTATTAATAAAAATTGCTTTTTAATTTCGTATTTTTATATAAAAATAAAATAATAATATAGAGAATAATATTATTTAATTAATGATTTCGCTAGATTTTAGGAAATTTTATATTTTTCTATTGGTAAAACTTTAGAATTAAATTTAAAATCTTTATTTTATTAATTATTTTAAGAATTAAAAATAATTCTTAAGACTTATTAAGATTTGCAAATAGAAGATAAATTATATATATTTTAGTGTTTTTTTTTATTAAAATATGCATAATATATACATTCAGTCCACAGGTTCTTGCGTATGACATTATTGTAAATTAAAATATTTCTCACTATGTACATATTAAATTTCGATAAGGAAATTGTTACTAATAAAATATTGTTTCAATAACAACAATTCCACGATAAACAATATAATATTTCAACTTATTCATAACTTCTAAACAATATAATATTTCAATTTATTCATAACTTCTAAGGTAAACAAACTTTCCATTCGTATAATTTTTTTTACGTTATAATAAAAAAGATAAATCTATCAGGGAATATTCCTTATTATTGGATTTTAATACATAATTAAAACAATCTTTACAACAAAATCGGTTTTCAATGTATTTTTATTCTATTATTTTCGAAAATCGATTTTGTTAATGAACTGGCCACTATTATTTATAAATTTAACATATCTATTTTTGTGTGGCATAGAGTGTTTACAAAGGATTAGAAAAAAAAATTAATTCCTTGCTATTTTTGTTGACTCCTTATTTCCAGTTACGTGTTCCAAATCAAGACTATCGTATTCTAAAGCAGCAGTATTATCATAGTAAGCATAATCGTAATCAGATTTTTTTCCAGATTTTGGTCGTCCTGTTGTAGGAAGCCTTGTTGTTGACGAAAACGGTCTGGCTGATCCACTGACATATGTACTTGTCCTTGGTGTAGTTGATGATTGAGATGTTTTTTGGGTGTTCGAATTGAAATTATTGGGATTATAAGTAGTGGCTGCAGAAATTCTCCTATATAAAAATAAATTCCTTTAACAAAACGAAGATTCTTCATTTACATTTAGGAATATCATATACTAATTTAATACCTTGAGACTGGAGTAGTAGATCTTGGTGTTTCAGCTAAATGATTAATACTAGCAGGACTAAATCCAATTCCAATCGAAGATCTTGCTAAATCATAATTTCCTGTGCTGCTCTCGATATAATATTTCCCATTGGGACCGTCATAATTGTTAAATTGTGTGGCTTTCTTTGGCGGTTTTGTACTATCGTAAAACTGAGATGAACTCTTAATAGATTGGTTAGATTTTTCATAATATTGTCCAGTTTGAGTTTGACTATTATCAGTAGCAATATATTTTTTCGTAACTGGACTATAAGTGGTAGGAGCATAATTGCTGCTCGCAAAACTAGAAAAGTATTTTGTGGTTGACTGAGAGATATCTTGTTTGATAGTTGTACCAGTTCTATACTGTCCATTATTATTATTATTATTATTATTATTATTATTATTATTATTATTATTATTATTATTATTATTATTATCATTATTATTATTATCGTAAATAGTAGGTGTAATAGTTGTAGATTGATAAGATATATTATTATTTCCACGTTGTATATTATTGTAATTTCTTTGATAATTTGTATAATCGTTTGCCTGGTAATTGGTGCTAGGTTGCAAGGTCGTGGATTGGACAAACTGTCCGCCATTATTATAATTCTGATTCTTATTATAGCTAGTTGATTTTACTGTAGTACTTTGAATGAAACTTCCTGTATTTTGCTGATTATAATTGGAATTAGTATTGTAAGTATTATAAATAGTCGTTCTGGTTGTCGTGCTAGGAGATTGGAAATTATAATTATTCTGATAATTGGTATTCGATCTAAATGTTGAAGATGGGATATTATATTTCTGTGTATTTTGATTCTTGAAATTTTCTTGAGGCCTAACACTAGTAGATGATACGAAACCACTGTTAGTCCGTTGATTGTAATTATTATTACCACTGTAGAAGCCGGTATAAGTATTCTGATTGAAAGCAGCAGCAGGTGAAGGAGTACTAGATACATAATTACTATTGTCATTGTATTGTTGCTTCCTGCTAACCTTTCTGATTCCCGTTTTTTTCTTATTTTCTTGAATAATCTCGTCCTTATAGGATTTTTCATTCTCATAATCTTCCTCCTTACCATTTCTATTATTGTAAAAATTACCGGTACTGCTGCCTCTCAAATCTCTGTTGGCGTTAAAATTGTTCGAGGATATTCTGTTGAGAGTATTAGCCGAGGAACGAACAGGGTCACTCGTTTCGGACCGTTGAAGATGGTCTTGGGGTTCGGCATCGCTGCGTATGCTATCATAATGAAGTGATTCCAAACCAGATCCTAATCTATACAAGTCAAAATTATCGCTGGCATAATATAAAGTGGCTGCCTCGCAGTCAACATCATACCAATCCGCACATGTTTGACTTTCTTGGTCGAATGCAGTATCGTTGGGGCACAAGAACCTTCGAAAAAAAGGGATGGATATTTATCGTTTAGTAGTTTTGAATAGGGTCATATATACATGATATTTCTCAAAATAACATCTTTTTTTTTTTATAATATTATAAATCCCATTTCTTTTGATGATCGATTAAAAATGCATTTTTAATAAAATAAAAATATAATTATAATATTTTATTTTTAGAGCTGAAGCACAAGATTAGGAGAAGATTAAAAGAGCATGTTATAAAAAAACTTATCGAAACAAATGTGAAATATTTAATATATGTTTGATTGTAAACGAAAATAGCTGTAATGACATCCTCATCACGAAAATTACTCAGCGATCCCTTTGAGGGCCATTTCATAGAGTAAATTAAGAATTTGTAGAGTAACCTACTTGTAATCTTGAATAATGCCCGAGATGGACACACAGACATGGAATACTTGACAGTCAGTCTCTGGGTCGGCGTAATAACTTCCTACGATCTTGTTGCGACAAGTGAAGGAAGTTTCCGGCATGTACTGTTGCGAGTATCTGGGTGGTGGTCGTTGAAGCCCGAGGATACAAGTTCCGAACGCAGCCACTGTAACAAAATAGGGAACCATTGAAAAAAGATTGTGTATAAACTTTCTATGTCTAATTAATTCCACCATCAACAGGAAACAATAATTATTCGACAGTGGAAGAGACGGAGGTTTATCCATAGCGAGCCATCTTAGCGAGAATACTTTTTTTTTCGTCTTCAAAACAGCGTGCACGTTTCACGTTCCCATTTCAACAAGATACTCGGAAAATAGAAACGTAACTCATTGTCGTATATTGTACGTATAAATTAGATAATTTCGTTCAATATATTCCAGGTTTCGCGTAAACGTACCCCATATGAGGAAAATAATCTTCCCGATAGATTCCATCCTGACTTCTTCGAGAATGAACTGTCGACAATTGTCGATCCACAATAAAGCTCACACTGCCGCGTTACCTTCGCAAAGGGACTCTTTGAGACGACTGCGGCGAATGAGGAGAATGTCGCGACCGAGGATGCTCTACGGGGAACGTAGCTCTCCGGGAGGACGCCTCTGGCTCCGTGGATGGACGAGGTAGGGGCCATCATCCAGGAGAAGGCATTCGTGTGTAATGGGGGTAGAGGACGTAATGTTTCGTTACGTCACTCTCCGCTCGATCGCCGAAGGCAGATGCTACCTGCTAGTGACGACTTGCACGGTGAAACTATTGATGAAAGCCAAGAGAGTTGTTATGATCCCGACAAATGTTTGTGACAACGTATATGCACAATTGGTGAAAAATTGTATATTCGTATCACGTTTGATTCATATTATTAATTATTATTGTTAAATTAATAAATTATCATAGCAATTATAATATAATATGCAATAAATTGTCATAACGGGCAATTAAGTCGCTTTAAGAAAGTGAAATATTTCAGACGATCATAACTAGAATATGCTTTTCAAGCTTAGATTGTCGATGAAATTGTTTTCGAGTCTTCAAAAGAGTATTTTTTTTTTTATTATCATTAGTAAGAAGAAAAGAATTTTCAGAAGTCATACGTTGAAAACGTGAATCGCTGAAGGCTTGATTTAATATGTTATGATGTTATTATATTAAGATACGAAAATACGGTTAAGAAAATATTTTAACGAAATTCAGTTATTATAAGCGATGATTGATCTAATCTTAAAGAATTAGATTAAGGATTCTCTTTTATCCTTGATCAAAGTTCACCAACCATCGGACCTTTTAAGGTGTATACTTTCGTGTTTATGACAGATAGACATCATTGCCTCGATTGATAAATCATCGATGAATTACGAAGGCAACACAGTGGTGGTAAAAGCCACTTTCTATTAAATCACTCGATGGTACCAGATTACAAATTTTTTCTGGCGGAAAAAATTTTTCTTTCGGATGGAAAAATCATCAGACAGATAATATCGCAGGTTGGACAGGTAATATTAAAACTATTCAAAATTCAAGATGCACGATGTTCAAGATACGAATCTGCGATCAATTAGCCGGCACGATTGAAATCTCTGATGAATTATTGTCGAAACGTCACAGAAGAATCGTGGAGTTCATCGCGACCGGTCGTCCCATGCCCTTTGCTAGCTCGAGATCGAGCCTCGACTCTTCGAAAAGTCGCGTCCAGGGAGTGTTGTGTCGCATTCCATTGTCAGATCGATTTCTTCCAGTTTTGAACGTTTTTTCCAGAGAAGAATCAACAAGTTTGAAATTATGAAGGATAAACGGAAACACGAGCGAGTGGAAACACGAGGAAGCTGAAGATCGAGGTCGTACCTCGACAATCGAAATTTCGCAATTATTCTCGTGTTAAGAAACGAGGTTTCCGGCAACGTTTGGGAACATTGCGAACGGTAAAATTATATAATGCTCTTGTGTTAAATATATATATTATTTTCGTGATTTCGTTTCAAAGTATTTTTCAATTATCATTTTGCTTTTTCACTTTTATGAATATAATTCAATTATGTGCAATTCTCAAGTATATTTTCTTAATGTTAATTTAGAATTAGTTTAGTTTAAATCTCGAGAAGCTGGAGCATTTATCTTCTGTCGCTATAAATAGGAATAACATAGGCTTCGTCACAGATAAGGATTATTTTATTTTCCAATGACCATCCATGTCTCTATTACGCGACGAGGAATCTTCTCAGCCTTGGAGGGCGAAAGTTGTTGTGGATGGAACGATATTTGCACCTAGAACGTGTCCATAGCAGGAGGTTTGATCGAGGTTTTCTGTAATTTTATTTGATTGCATCGTGCATCCAATAATTCTGTGACGAGGATGGCCTAAAACCTGATATGCCACATTTTTCGTAAAGATTGAATCATTTGCAAATTTAAACGAGTCGAATTCGAGGGATCATTTCCGCCTTTATTGCAAATATATCCACGAGTGTGAACGGTATGTCGTGACATTCTTTAGCAAGCATTGAACCGATGGAGAAAGCGGGGTCATAGATGCATAGGCATAGGTCATTTTTTCAAAATGAGACAACATTCTCAGGGATGTTACAAATGTGATAATTCCATGCCCAATTATCTCAAATCAAGTATCTATGAATGCTTCCTTTGATGCAATCTATCGGCAACCGAGCCAGTTTTCCAAACTGGCTATTATCGAAATTATCAATCTTTACCAATCATTATGTAAAGATCGCTTAATCGCTTTCGAGCGAAGAGAAGAGTTAAAATTTTCAAATTTATTCAGATTTTTATCAAAATAAAGAAGATTTAACAAATGAAAATTTGACACACTTTGAGAGATTTTATGCAAGATTTATTATTTTTCATCAAAATAATGTAAATAATGTTAGTAAAAGGTAAAATAACGCGATTAAATACAAATGCAAATTTAATTCGAATTAAAGTTCATATTGCATTTTTTTTTCAGAATTTTTTATAGCGGAAATGAAGGAACAACATTGTAATTTTATTATTTTAAAAATCTTATTATTTTTTACAGAAATTATTGAACTTCGACTGTATCATCAATCATTCCCACCAGTTCGAAATCTTGAAAGATTTGATGGAAAAATGCAAAGTATCGAATAAGTTCAAGAAATTTGTTAAATCTTGAAAAAAAGACTCGATTCTTTGTTGTATATATCTCCAACAGTTGTACGATGTTACGCAGATTTGCATAGCGGTTTGGAGAAGAGAGAGAATGTTCCTCGTTACCCAAGCGGATACAGAAAGGTGCTAAGTGTATGCGGGAACATATTCGACTTCCGTCAGACGCGTGCACCTCTTCGTCCAGTCATCAACTATCTTTACTTAACTTAACACTTTCTCGTTTCAATCATATTCGATCATCGGGATCTCTGTTTACATCCCGAAATTTCGAATTAAACCCATTTCTATAGTGTGCGTATATATATACACACACACACTATAGAAATGGATATATACACATATTTTAATAAATATTATTTTTTCGTGCGCAAAAAGTTTAAGCTAATTTTTCATATTTTCTTTTTTCCAGTGACGAAATTTTGCTACACATACGAAAGTAAAGTGGATACGTTTAGATGTACGGCCTTGGCGTGTACAAATTCCTGTTTTTCCTATTTGCCTTCGTTCCTCTTTTAACTCGGATCGAGCTAGTGAAAGCTGGTTGGAAGATCTCGAACGTCCTCCGGCACGTGCACTCGAATCCTCCTCACGAATTGACGATTTATTGCGTTGAAACGGCGAAAGCAATAGGAACTAGAGCACCGATCGACATCACGAGGATCATATATATCTCGATATATTCCCCGATTTCCCGTCTGGAGTCGATTTTAATATCTCATATTATCTTTTACAGTATAAGTTGAAAGAAAATTTTTTACTCAAAGATTTTTATTTTGAGATAATTAATAAAATAACAGATATGTAAGATACGTAATCACACATTTTAACGTTTTAATATTTCATTCTTAACGTGATAAATAAATTTTCAGATTATAATAACCAAAGAGATAGATTTTTACAAATTGTTGTGCGACATGTATCGTTTTTGATACATTTGAAAACAAGAATTATATATTCATAAACGACTTGGTATATATTAATACATAGTGGCAGAGCTACGACTCGGAATCGGTTCTTTATCCCCATGATAAAAATCGACGAGAAAGGAAAAATACTGGACAAATTGATGTTTTGCGTTCCCGACCTACGATCATCGATTACGCAAATGAGAGAGTCTTAGAGAGAAAATTCTCGATATTGGTATTTACAAATTTTGTTTTTCTTATATAAATCCACTGCGAAATTTCACTTAAAAACGAGTGAATTAATTAATCGTCCTTATTCCAGAGAAACTTCCTTGCGAAACATCTTTTCTTTTTTTATATTTTTGACATGTTCTTAGAAAATGGGGAAATTTGGATAATACAGTTCTCGTAGACAATACTTGTGTCAGCGTTTTACCTGAAAAAATTCTTCTCTCTTTGAATATACTTCTCGTGTGCGTCGATTGCTGTTATCTCGCGGCTGCATCTCGGCGTCGATTACATTGTCGCAATTATGCCTCTCCTCGAAAGAAAACATCGTTTTGTAGCTTCTTATCCCCTCTACCATCAAAACCTTGAACAGTTTTCGAAATTCTGTCTAAATCTAAGATAAGTGTTCTAAAAAAAAAAAAAAAGAGAGAGAGAATTACACGTTCTAATAATTATTCCCCTTGTATTCCATTCTGATTGAAATCGATTTTTAATTTTAATTTCCAGACTTTTTTAAAGAATAAATATTTACCTGAGAGAGATACGGAGATAATTGTATAGTCGTGCAACGATTGCATATGCGAACACCGAAGATGGAACGACGATCTCGTGCTCGAGGATCTTCACGAAGATTCTATAAGTCACGGGGGAAGGGGATATTTCTCCTAGTCTTCGCCACGTGAGAAAGTGAAAGCAAAAGGCGAGCGCTCGAGGAGGCATCCTCTACGTAGAGAACTCGATTCGTCCGTCTCTCCGGTGATCATCCTAAAAACCGATTCTCTCCGTGCCCCCTCGGCTATGAGCGACTCGTTATCCTCTTATGTAGATTCTGCCGAGTCAACTTGCAGCACCATTTATATCATACCAGATCTAGATACATTTGAAATAATTTGAAATAACGTAACGAATATCTTATTTCAAATAGGTAATTTCTATTTCAATTAATTATGAATTTATTATAAATTTAAAAGATATATTTAAAAGATTTATTTTATTCGGAAAAAAAGCATATAAAAATAAGTCTGGAAATAAGAAAAAATTTTAAAGCTCAATTCTGACGAACATTTAATGTTAGTATTAATAGATCGATTAATTCGGTCGATTAATTGAGCAAGAACTACCTATAAATACAAACGATTCGAGTTGAAAACAAGGTTGGTTAATTAAAGATCTGATCGGTGTATTAAGAAAATTAATTTTCTTAATATCGCAGACAAGGTCTTCTTTCGTTAATAGAAAGAAGGCATGGAAAAAAATATGAATTTATTTCGAAATAAATTCATTGATATGGCGAGAAGATGATTTACAAATCGAAAATTGTACAAAGTACAATTAACGATCTCGAGATCTTAATTACGAGCCTCTTATTATTGTGACAGAGTGTGTAACTTCGTGCGAAAACAAGAATTATCCACTCGCCGCTGTTCTCTTATGTAATCCATACCACAATCATCATATGTATATATATATATATATATATTCATCGTCTTTAAATCTTAACACTCTTAATAGACGATTAACTCTTAGTGGTCGTTGATAAACCTAATTAAATAAAAGAAAATTAGACAAGACATCTATCTATATATGGAATCACTCGAACGACGTTCCATAATTTAAACTCGAACATTGATCAATTTTCATTTCTATGTAATAACACATTCAAGAGATTCCAAGAGAAATCTTTCCCATGGCCACAAAGACCTTATTGGTAAGCTTCGAGGTAATTTTCCAATAGAAAATAATGGGAAGTGCTCCACTTTTTATCGAGTACATAGCCGCTCGTATTCTTCCCGATATTATTCCATTAAAAAAAAACAGAACAATTGATATTTCTCACAAATGCAACCTGATTCTGTTTGAAAATCAAGACGATCGGTACCATCTGGAGGAATCGTGAACAATGCTCGAAATCGGTTAGTTTCCGATTTGATAATGGTAACGGGTTGTCGCCTGATGCCTTGTCGACGTAACTTTCACCGGAGCACACACGATGATGATACAGTGTGTCGTGCGTGCGCGAATCCTCGAGTAAAGTTGCATAAACGCGAAGCCTTCTGGGGCGGTTTGGAACGTGGAAGTTATACAAGAGGCCAGCTCCAGAGAGACTTTCCAGACGACAGGCTGAATTCTTTCGAGGCAAGATCTTGACTGATGAACTTCGTCTTGACTTTGGAAAAAATTATTGCGAGAATTTCCTGTTTTGCTTCAAGCCTACTGGATGGACCTTTTCTTTCTTCTTTATCTTTTTTGATTTTATCTCGAGATCTTAGAAGAAAAAGAAATTTACCTGCAAGAGATCAATCGCTTAATGAAAGATTTGTAATAAAAGAAAAGCCTCGATAGGCTTTCGATCAAATTGATCGTGCAGATATTTTAACAAAATTAATCTTGACACTTATTGAAACGAATATTTAATTAAATATATATAATTAATTTTTGTAACATTGTGATTAATTCATTTGTATATCACATCTATAATACATATGTAAACGCATGATATAAATCAATTAATAATTTTGTTAATAATTTTATGTTAATAATTTTCTGAAATCCATAAAAGGAACAGAAATTTTTAAATCTGATTAAATAGATTAATTATGATCGGATTAACTTTCCAAATGTTATGTAAATGTGGATTTCCAATGATTATTTGAAACAAGATGTTGAAGAAGTCGACGAGATATATGTATGAGATATTTGCCCGAGATCCAAAGATAGCTGTAGAACAAATAAAAGATTATCTAATTATCTATTTTATATAAAATTATATCTTAAATATATATCATGTATATATTTAATGTTCATGCAAATAATGTAAAATAATTATTTCCACTTTTTAGAAAGAGAAAAGGAAGTTTCATAGATTTTAATCTAGATGAAAAAAAATATTAAAACGTTAGAATATAAATAAATAGTGGAGGGAAATTGATGAAAGCGCGGGATGTTGCGTGATTGGAGGCAAGTTTCATTAGAAAGAACGGATCAGAAGGCTAATTGGAAGAAGCGTAGGAAGCATGCATTCATTACTGGAGAAATGGTGCAACTTGGTTGTATTTTAATTACGCATTTCGCAGAAAATCTCACGAAATTACCTATGTTCTCTTTGGAATCTTTTGTCTCACAAAAGATCTGTTACTATAAATTTTTCTTTTTTCCTTTTTTAATTGAATTTCACGAAAATCCTTGATAGGAAACGAGTGTGTTCGACAGGAACGAAACGCAAACCATGGTCCGTGTCGTAATGACGAAATCGTAAGATCGGTCTCGTGCTATAAATGTGTCGTTACAGACTTGAATCTGGCACAAGGATGCATTATTTGTTCGGTTGAATCTTGTCATTTCATTTTCTATCGTAACACCGTTACACTTCTCTCTCATGCACGAAATTTCCATAAAACCGATATAGTTCGACTTTCTCTGATGTGTTATCGATGGTAGGCATCTTCGTGTATCGTTTAATTCATGGCGTTTCAGTTGAAATAGATTGTTTCAAAGGCATTGTCATTCCACCACTTTCGCAGCCTGATTTTTTCCCTCTCTTATTCTTCAATAGATCAGACTACTTTCGCGATACTGCTATCATAGGAGTCGAATGATGTGTATGAACAATGCTATACATGCTATCTTCGATTCTCTTTGTCTCTATTTTCTTTTAAAAAAAAATCTCAAGAATTATTCGCCGAGCATCTAAATTAAATAGTTTTGATAGAGGAATATCATTAGAGAAAATTTGATATTATTTAAGTTAAGAAATATAAAATATTATTCTAAAAATAGAAATTTCAATGAATCCATTTTGAGATAGTAGAAAAAATTTATTTCTCAAAATAATGATTCGTCTACACTCAATACTGTGTAAAATAGATAAAAAATTGTGAATCCTTGATGAATTATCAGAATTTGATCTATGATCTGTATCTTGTTTAACGTTATGAAATCGGTGATCAGTGTCACGCAAAGTCCAACAATTCTTAGCCAGGATTTCGTATCGAGAAACTTTGAGAAAGACGAGTCAGGAAAGCAATACAGACGAACCGATCGAAGGAAGTTTTAATTGGATGGGCACATAACCTGAAATAATCGTGAGGGTCGATTATTTTTTTTTTTGTACCAAGCAAAATACTCGTGGGAGGTTGCCAACGATCTCACACAATAATCATTTTATTATATACCGCTAAGCATATGCTCCGTCAGGTCTCGTAATTGTTAGTAAAGCGAGCTGCTCGACTAACACGTACGATCGCGTAACATGCGTTATTGTCAGGTGAATTTTTTTCCTTCGTAGCATCTTCTTGCGATGGAACCAGGAAATGAAGCCTGGTTGCGCAATGGGAAGCGCTTTCTGAGAGATAGAATCTCAAGGAAAACGTGAGGACGATTATTTAGCCCTGATAGTTCGTTTAGCTCGTTCGCTGTCTCTGGTTCGCTTTTGCCCAATTTTCCCAGTAAATCTGAGAGAAGAGAAACAAAATTACTCTTATAGTCTGCATTTTAAATTTGAAAAAATTTTTTACGTACAATAAAAATAGGTAGTTGAAATATTGTTTAAGTAAAAAGTACATTATAAAATGATCTTATTCATGAGTAACATCTTTCATGTAACCTTTTAAGCGTGGTAAATCTTGCTTTGAAAGAGTTTCTAACTTATAAATCACATACAAAGTTTCATTCATCAGTTTCATTTGCTTTGTAGACGTTCATGTTAATTCAATAGATTGTCATTTTTGCTACAGTTGACATGGATACGTTTTTATAGGAATTCACGATAATTTATCGATCACTGGAATTAATTATAAGATTAATAATATTTTTGCAAGAATAATATCCTATAATGTTTAGATTTTTTTATTAAAATATCCAATTATATTCTATCATAAGAAATATTTAGCATTCAAAGAATATAAAATGTATGATCTAAGCCAAGGATCAGATAAACAATTTATAATATTAACGATATTCAAAAAGAGAGGGAATAGAAATGTTTTGATTCATTCACTTGTCTCCCATAATCAATGTAATCCTTGAATGTATAACCTTTTGATGAAGTCAGTGAACATCCTCGGGGTTTTGTTAAATGCCAGACGAGTAACATCACGACACGCTCATTGATCTATGATGGTATTGAATGTACTTTAACATAGAATTACTTGAGAGAGAAAAAGTTCTTTTCTGCCAAGGATATCTCGTTTTTTACCGAAGCCGTTTCTTATTATAACGTTGAACTAGAAATTCTGATAGATTCTGTTTTTATATGAATGTTATTTAAATTATAAAATGTGAAGTTATATAGGTTATTTTAATATTTATAGAAATAAAAAAAAATATATTAAATTCAAAATAGTTTATTGTAGATGAATATATTATTTTTATACTTTTCTTAATATCGTATTTTATAAAATAAGATGCATTTACATTTTATTTTGTATCACAATTGATATTATGGTGCCATCTACTGAACAAAGCATCAAATTAACAATAGAGTGTATTTATCAGACAATTACATTTAAATTATCAAAAAATAAATATTAACAAAATAACACGAATTGACAAAATATATTTTTTTTAAAGCATTAAATTGAGTATCTCGTCTTAAAAAATAAAAAATCTATAAATTAATATATTTTCCATAATATTTACAGTTTCATTGTTAACCTAACAAGCAATACTATCTTGAAAATGCTTCAGCAGGAATAGCCGAAGATTTATAATCCTTCATAAAATTTGAAATCGCTTTTCTTATATTCCATTTAGCTTCTTCCAAATACGTTTGACACCAATCTTTGTTTAATGAAGTTATTTCTGTAAATTTGTTCAATAATTCCTTTTTCTCGCTCGAGCTAAAGCAAGATGGTACGATTTCGTCGTAAGAAATTTTTGTTTCTATACTATTTGGCGATATTTCTTCTGTAGTAGCATTTACGTAGTATTGATCATTTATGATATTGTATTCATGATCAGGACCAGCTTGGAGAACGAATGTTCTATTAAACCATAGAACTTGTGACGAATTATTCATAATTTTAAATAATCCACAAACCGAGATTACTAAACATCTGTTATCGTCGAATATCAAGTCGTATACAAAAGATTTTCTGTCATGATAGGATCGTGGTAATCTTTTTAAACCACCTAAAATATTATCCTGTCCATAATAAAGATGTTGTCGTTTCTTATTTAGGTCTGCAGTTTTTAATAAATTTCTATTTGCTGTAAATTGAATTAAATTTTTTTTATGAGCCATAGATAATGGAATTCCAAAACTCATGGAATAAAATGCATTTTTATAATATAATCCTCTTAAAACTGTTCTATCACTTTGATCATACAGATTGAAAAAATGGTTAATAAATTTGCTAACTAATTCTTCTCTGGATTCATTTTTAAAGTAATTAATATATGTCAATGGTAAACCAGATGTTTTAATATAAACTCCATCCAACTGAATTAAATTAGGACAATATTTCATTGCAGAATCTATGTATTGCTTTGAAGTATAATAATTTTCACACAAAGGATTTCCATCTAGCCATAATTTCAGTATGCAGAGATTTTTTAAAGGGGTAAGTGCTTCCATAGCAATTAAGTTATTGTATCTCAAGTCCAAATACTTTATGGAAGTCAAACTAGAAGTTTCTATAGGAGTTAAATTGAACAATTCATTTTTCTGAAGATTTAAATGTTCTACTGTGGCAATTGCAGTCTTTGTTAATTTTAAAACATGATTAAAAGTTCTCTGTTGGGATAATGGGCAATAAGCAATTTTAGACATGTCAGAATCTTTATGAAATTCTTCCAGGTCCAGAGTTTTTTTATTAGGATCGTATTTTTTGGTCAAAGCAGTCAAAAGTAAGGTTGAAGATTAATTTTTAGATCATGAATGGATGCAAATCCTAAAGTAACGATTAAGATCAGTGGATCTCCTTCTGGATTTTTGATTATTAAATTAGTTTTACATAGTTTGTCAAGAGCATGGGCACAATTACGAGCCAGAAAGAAAGTATCTTCTCCATTGATTTGATATTTCACAGGGATCAATTCTGCTGGTTCAATAGCATTTAATATAGCTTTTAACACTGTTTCTTTATCATACTCAGTTCCTTTTAAAATTTTAATTTTGTGCCATACATCTGAACGACCCATTAATGTTCTTTCTTGAAACATTGATCCACCCATACTTATTTTTATTGCAATAGAAGAATCTAATTGCATTGACACTATAGGTAAATTTGTTCGTTGCATTTTTATTATTTATTTTTTAATTCACTAAATACAAATTCACAATAGTCTCAGTTGAAAACTCTTTCAGTATTGTGAAAATTACATATTTCTGAAAAGAAATAATTTCTATTTATATTGTTAGGTTAGACTTTTTACACAGAAAAATTGCATTTAACACAAAACAATATACATTAAAATAAATACATTAAAATAAATACTTCTCCTAATGATATTGAAAGTAATAAGTAAATTTATATTTTTGCTTTAATCTTTATTTTGTTTATGACAGCATTTTATAGAACTTTGTGTTTCATTTTCCGTAACACCGATCGTTTAAAAAAGTAACGTTTTTGATATGCATATTAGATTTAACTTTAATATAAAATTATAAATAAAATATATGACAGAAAATATATTTTTAATTTTTAATACTTTATTTTTAATATCTTATTCATCAACTATTATTATGATAATAAAATTATTATTTTATTTTTACAATATATTTCTAAATATTATGATAATATATTTAAAATTCTTTTAGTTTTATATAATAAATTTCAAAAATAATTGTTTATTATAATATGAATATTAAAATTTTATTTCGTTTTGCCATTTTTTAAATAATACAAATTTTACGAATCATTTTTAAATATTTTAATTTTTTTAGTTTTTTCCAATTTATTAATTTATATGTTATTTTTATAATCTATTTAATTAATTTTAATAATCTACTTTAATTATATTTTCAATAAATATTTTTAAGATTTCGATAATTATAACACATAATTTCAGCAATTAAAGCATATTATATAATATAATATTTTAATTTTTATACGGTTTTGAAAGAAAAAAAAAACCGCGCAATTCTAGCCAATCGAAAAATTATTATTTTTATTGTACATGGTAAATTAATTTTAATAATTTATTTTTATTATATTTATAATAATAATCTTTTTTTATTACATTTTTAATAAATGTTTCTTTATAGGATTTTGATGTTACAGAAATTAATTATTAGAACGTATATAAATACGTATTGGAACATATATAACGCAATACATAAATTTTTCCGCGGTTTCAAAACAATAATAAACCGCGCAGGTCGAACCAATCAGAAATCATTCTCGACACATGGCGTCAGTCTCTTATTGAAAATCATAACGAGTGGAAGTGTTACATTGCTAGAAGTGTATAATTGAGAAAATTTTTACTAACAAGGTATTTTATTATAATTTACACACTATTAATAGTATAGTAAAGCTTTGTTTACTTCATATGAATTTATTTAATCATTTATTAAGCATTATTATATGAAAATAAAATAATCTTTTAAACTTTGTTCGTTTCACAATATTAGCAATAATTTGTATTATAAAGTTTATATTACAAAATTTATATTTTAAATCAGATTTAAATTATTGTTATTTTAATTTAATATAATTTTTATTTTAAATATATGTTTTACGGTTTTGATTTTTATTTATGCAAATTATTGTTTAATCACCAAGATAATTTTGAAAATATAATAATTTATGCATACGATTAAAAGACAATTTGATAAATTTCATGCAAATATGATAAGATTTTAATTATTTTTGTTATAAAGATATAATTATTTTAAAGTTTTTAATCCTTTTATTTATAAAAGTGAAGGTAAATTATTGTAGATGATAAGTTTGTTTTTGCAATAGCTTGTTTTGCATAATAATAAAAAATTTGGATGTATAAATGCACACAAAAAAAAATTTATTTAGAAATAAGTAATTTTTTCATTAAAAAAGGATAAATGGGATATGGATAGAATAGATTTTCAATTTGCAGTAATTTTTACAAGATGAAATTATTATTATTCATAATCATATCCTTAATACAATTATAAATTGTATACTAAATAATATAAATTAGTTAATTGCATGCGTAATTAAAAAATAAAGCAATCATATAAAAAAACATAATTTATCATTTGTAGATAATCCATTAATTGACCGACTGTCTATTGTAGCTAAAAAACTTACCGACATAACTTTCAGAATAAAACGTGCGTATTTTAAAATATTCGCGAACAGAATATACATATTTTAAAATATTTTATATAAATTTTATACAAATCATATAAAATGTGTATTTCAAATATGAAATCGAACACGTGTAGTTTCGATACGTCTGAACAGTAAGACGGTCACAGAAATTGTGTTTTCCTTTATATAATATAGCTCAATGGATAAGAGCAGTAGATATCCGTCGGTGTCAATACAATAACATCGTATATAATTATCTATAAATTTTGAATGAATATTTTCATATAAAATATTATTAATTTATTAATTTATTAAAATTTATTATTTTTGAAATATTTTTACATATCGTAAAAAATATTATTATTGATTTAAATAATATTTGTATGTAATTGTATATAATTTTTTTTTATTAATTTGTTTTCTACATACGAAATAATAATTGATTTTTAATTTTTTCGTTGAACAAAAGTGTCATAGATATAATAGTATAAATATAGTAATTTAGTTTTAATTCCAACCACTACGAATATTATAATCTAATTCTGTATTCAATCGGTAAAGTTAAAAATGACACTAAAATGATAAAGCAATTTTCTGAAATTTTTTGAGACAGGAAAATATAATATTTAATTTATTCATTCTATATTTCGTATGTAATGTTTATAATAATATTAAACGTTATTAATTATTTTTATTGTATTAAATTATACAAATTACGCAAATTGTGATTATTTTTTCTCTTCTTTTTTTTCTTTACGTTTACGATTTTTATAAATAGTTGGGGGAAATTAATCCGCTTCTATCTATTTCTTAATATATATAGCATGAATGATTCAATCTGTGTGATCAATACTCTTATCGATCACTTTTTTTTTATAATTTTTAATAACAATAATGATAAATACGATAAAAAAATTAAAGTTCGTTTTTTTTTCTCTTTTAATTTTTCCTTTTTTTCCATGTTTCTTCATGAAGAATATAAAATGAAATTCCACCAAAATTTGCAACAAAAAAATCCTAGAAAAATTTTACCACAACGTTGTGTCAAATACCGAAAATGGATAAGTTTGAATCTACTTACAAACCACTTTTATATATCAATCATCGTACACCGGGTGTTAAAACCATGGAGTTAAAATCATCCAATTCGAAATAGATGGAAAAACCAACAACGGATACCACGAAGTATTTTCACGCTAGGCAAAGGTAACCAGATATGTTAATGCCTGGTCGATCGAGGTAAGTACGTATTACCGTACAACGTGTAACGTTATCGGGACAGAATTACCGCTCCAGAAATGGTGCGTGGTCCGGGTTTCCTTTTAAATGTGTTATTTCGCGAAGCTCGTGCCCAATCATGCACGAATGCAACAATGAACAGGGTCGAAATAGGGGGATAGAAGAGGCAGAGACCGGTGATTTGACCGGAGGCAGGCTCAACAAGCGTCGCGCGTGTACACGTGTGTTGTGTGTGTGCACATGTGTGCGTGCGCACGTGTGAGTGTGTATATGGATCGAAACCGCCTTGGGCGATGCTCTTCCGCATTTCACGTTTTAAGGAAAAGAAAAAAAATCCTTATGCGTTGAACGATCTGCTGGTTGGCATTATAGATCACAGATATATAGATATAGATGGACACGTGTCTATTTTTGAATTACGTTTCAATTAAAATTCTGAAATTTTTATATCTACGAAATTCGAAGTTTGAAACTTTATATAGGATGTCGAAACTCCCGAAAAGTAAAACTATTTTTTTTCTTTCTTCTCTTAGGTAAGGAGATTTCGTTAAGAGTAGAAAACTTTTTTAACAATCTTTGAAAATGTGTTCACAATAATAAGCCAATAAAATTTCTTAAACTAATGCATTCTGGAAGCTTCGAATATCCCATTTCTATAATTTTAAAATTAAATATGGATTTATATGCAACATATTATAATCTTGGTCGAATTAGAACTATTCGTCAAAATTTACTTTCGATTTTCTCCGAGGAAAATCGTTCTGTTAATGTTTATAACGGCACATACCGATTTCGCCCAGCCGCTCGTCGATGGTTGGTCAAGTTCAAAACTTCTTACCTTAAAGGTACGAACGTATATATTTTTCTCTCGCAAACCCGCGTATCCAACCGGCCGCGTTAATGGCGGGGACCGTGCACGGTGACCTCGACGAAGAACCTCGTGGAAGATAATCGTGCCACGTTAAATTCGCGATTTAGACGAGGCGTGTTGGTAAAAAAAAAAAAAAAAAAAAAGAAAAAAAGAGAAAAAGAAAGGGGAAAAAAAAACGTTAATGGAGACACCGTTTCCTTCCCTTATCGAAACCTCTTACGTTCACCCTCGTCTCGGTTCGTCGGGTTCTCGGGTTATTTAACCCGGTTGCGATGT